ATGACCATTTATTAAATGTTTTTTATTATTATAAAACCAATTACTGACATGTTATAGACTATCCTTTGTATTCAAATTTCTAGAAAGCTTTTCCATATTTATAATGTCAGAAATGAGTGCATTCACCCTGTTTCACTCTTTTGTAACTATATGAAAAAATATTCATTCTTGTAAGTACTTAAAAAGCTGAAGAATAAATAAATCAAGTTCCTCAAATAATTGCCTCTTTTCTTTTTCAGGCTTTGATTAAAAATAAGGTTATGTAAATTTATAGATTATCCTAATTATGGTAGAACTAAGTGAGCAATTTTATAGGTCATTTCCATTTTGTCATCATATTCAACAACAAAGCAAGAGAAATTTTATGTTAAACTTACATGAAACTGCTAATGGATATGTCATTCTTTACAAATACAGGTGGTCACTGACTTATGATGGTTTGACTTACGATTTTTTGACTTTACAATGGTGCGAAAGCGATACGCATTCAGTAGAAACTGTACTTCCAATTTTGAATTTTGATGTTTTCCGGGGCTGGTGACTTCCTGCACAATCCTCTCTCGTGATGCTGGATAGTGGGAGCCACAGCTCCCAGTCACCCTGGGATCACAGGGGTGAACGACCAATACTCTTAACGACTATTCTTTCACTTTCAGTACAGTATTCAACAAATTACCTGAGATATCAATACTTTATTATAAAAGACGCTTTGTGTTCGATGATTTGCCCAACTGTAGGCTAATGCAAGTGTGCTGAGCACGTTTAAGGTAGGCGAGGCTAAGCTATGATGTTTGGTAAGGTAGGGGTGTTAAATGCATTTTCAACTTACAGTATTTTCAATTTAATGAGTTTATTGGGACATAACTCCATTGCAAGTTAGGGATGATCTGTACAAATGTATTCAGTGAAAAGTGGGCTTGAAAAGTCTATTATCCCCATCCAACCCCTCTAAACACACACACACACACACGCACACGCATACACATCTTGGGAAGGGGAGGAAAAAAATTGCCTAAAATGTCCCTGACTTTTGGCTTGGTAACAATTATTGTCTTTTCCTTTTGAAAGTGATACGTTTGTGCTCAGTGTTTGTGGCTTTGAATGAAATCCTCTAGCATCAGTTCTGGGCAGGTTGCAAGTTGTATCACACTTTTTTTTTTCCTCTTGAGAGGCAATATAGTATTTTGAAAAGAGATGAGGTTCTTAAATCAAACACATGTAAGTTTTCCACTTGCTTCACATATAATATTGGGAAATAGTTTCATTTTTTTAGAGCCCCCATTTTCTTTTAACTGCCGAGGCAGAATGACTTCACAATGTTTGTGATGAATAAATGCCAGAAGTAGCCACCATGTAGTGAGCACCTATTCTGATCCACTCATTATCATCAATCTTTATAACAACACTATGGGGTGAGATTGTTCTAATCTCCACTTGGTACAAGAGCACATCAGCCAAATGCCCGTCACACTGTCTAGCTCAGCCCACTGTGGTGGCGGCAATGGCAATAAAGTGGTGGTCATTGTGATTGCTTTTGTGACTGTAGTCATCTTACAGCCACACTTTCCCACTTTAACTGACTCGATTTAAGAACATAAAAAGGCAGCCAGGTTAAGGAACACAGGATTCAAAGTCAGGTTTACCTACCCGCGATCTGTGCGGTTAAACGTTACACCATGTCATTATGGTAGCTTGAGATTTTAGGCTTGCTCAATGCTGGCACTGTGCATAGAGGTACTTCATTCTTCTTGGGACAGTGTTTCCAATTTATATTTAAAAATAGTTTGGGTGTTTATTTTTTTCTGAAAACACGCCGATATGTTACCTAAAAGGCACATTTTATCCTTAGCATATGGATTTGTGTACACTTACATCAGCGAGTCATTTCAGTGACCCAGCTACGTGACCACCTGGCTCATTCTGCTACTTGGTGAAGATATTTCTAGTTTCCCTGTTCTGCGCATTGGGTTTAGGGTAATAGCCTATTCTCCATGAATTATATTTCTCGAGTGTAGTAACTGTATGGGTTATTTCTGTGCCTCTTTCCAATTGCTGTTATCATTGCTGGTAAAGATCACCTTAACATCTTAACTAACGATTAGTACTCTAAAATTTAATCTGAGGTATTAATTTCATAAATCAAATTGTACAAGTAGAATATTGCTATATAATTTACAATCATATCACATGCCAATAGGTGTAATTATTTCGCCATGTAAATTCAACAGGATCTATTACTTAATATTTATTTTTAGCCTAAGCTATGCATTTATTTCTAATTAGTGAAAGGTTCTTTTTCTACTTCAGGGAGAGTTAAACCATAAAAACAAATGGAAATAAAAACCACTGAAGTGTGATCCATTTTTCTTGGTATGATGTATATACTTAAAGGCACTAAAGATCTCACGGTACTACTTAAAATTATGTAATTAATTGAGACATGAACAGTTTTACATTATGTTTGTTAGATAAGAAGTAATATTGAGACTCCCTAGAAAGCAGAGCGGTGTACTGAGAATGGTGCTAGCCCTTATGGATGCTGATGCAATAACAACTCACAGGTTTCTAGGGAGCAACTAGCAGTTTTTGTTTGCTTAGAATTTAGCCCGTCCTTTTAAAGATCAGATTCATTTGAAATGCTCTAAATTCAAGTTAGAAAGTAACCTTTAGCAAAATGTATATGACCCACTTTGCAGACTTCTGTATAAAAGTTCTACATGTGTAAGAACAACTTGGCATGGTAATTTTTTTTCTTGTATTACCCTTACAACTGTGAATATCTGAAAATGAGCAAAGCCTTAGAGGCACAGGTAGCCTTCAGAACATTCTCTCACTTGTACCAGCATGCGGTTTACATGGCCATTAAAACCACTGTCATTTTACATCTGTAAAGCTCTTCCTCAGCAATTCTCACTTCACCTTCACAACAACCCAGTGAGGAGAGCAGGTGTAGTGGACGTTTGTCATTTCTGCCGACCCAGCACCCCAAGAACCCACCTGCCTGGGCAGAGCCCTGGGGTAAGAGGGATGGAAGGCAGGGGTCCTCTTCCTCTCCCCAAATCAGAGGAGAGCAGAGATTCTCTCCCGCTGACTTGGCAGCTCCAACGTTCTCCTGTGACTGAGGCTCAGCCAATGAGACGACCCTGCCTGAGAGGTTTCCCAGTAATGAGTGAATCAGAGCTGCTGAGGAGAGTGTGGGAGGCAGTGGCTGGCGAGGGCAGTGCCCGTGGCACTGGAACCAGCTAGGACCTTCAGAGTCCAGGGCCAGTAGAGGCAAGTTGGGTGTCCCTTTGTTTCTGCCGACTTTTCCCAAGGTTTTTCAGCCTCTTCCCTCCACTAGACATCTTGTATCTTGTCATCACGTCCCTGTTACATTTAATGTTACTAAAGCAAGTTTTGGTTGATTTGCAACCCAGAACACAGGTGATTATAAGTATTGCTATTCTCAGTTTATAGACGAAGAAATTGTGCCTTACAGAGGTTAAGTAACTTGCATGAATTGTAGTTATGTAGCAAAACCAAGTCAAGATCCCATGACTTCTACTTAAGGGTTGTTTCTTTCACAGCACACTGCGCTCCCATTGCGTTCGGTGGCCTCGTAGTGGTGAGGCAGCTTACTCCTCTGTGCCTCCTTGATCACCATGTTAATCCTACTTGCTGTTATGTTTATCTGCGTGATGTCAGATGTACCTGTCTTCCACACCAGACCACTGAGCATCTGGAAGACAAGGATTGTATTATATTCATCATCTTCTCTCAAACATGCTCTAGCGCCTGGGTGCACAGTCAGTGCTAAATAAAGATTTTGATGAATGAGTGAACAAATGAGTGCATAAGTTATTCAATGACATGAAAACACCAATATAAGTTTGAAGTCAATGATACAAGTATAATTTTCATTTTAAAAAACACCACTATGGGGGCCGGCCTGGGGGTGCAGCAGTTAAGTTTGCATGTTCTGCTTTGGCAGCCGGGGGTTCACTGGTTCCGATCCCAGGTGCAGACCTACACTCCACTTGTCAAGTCATGCTGTGGCAGCGTCCCACATATAAAGTGGAGGAAGATGCATATGGATGTTAGCTCAGGGCCAGTCTTCCTCAGTGAAAAGAGGAAGATTGGTGACAGATATTAGCTCAGGGCTAATCTTCCTCAAAAAAAAAAAAAAAAACAAGGAAAAGAAAAAAAGCAAAAGCAAAAAAACACAACTATGGTCTTTAGCAATCAAAATTTTAGAATATTTTACATAAAATAATTTGCCTTGAATATATAACAATGTTCACTTAGTAAGCATTTGTTCCATACCTACTATGTGCCAGGTTCTTGTTACAGAGATAAATAAAAGTTAGTCTCCTTCTTTCAGAAGTCTCACAGACTGATGAGAGAAACAAATGATTCCAGAGCTCTGATCATGAAGCTGTGGGAAAAGGGGCTGTGGTAATCTGAGAACGATTACAGCAGCAGGCCCACCGTCAGCAGCCATGGGAACGCTACATGGCATGGAGATTGACTCTGGGCAGAATGCTGCACACGGCAAGGACAAAAGCCAGCACCCTCTGAAAGCTGGAGAAAAGCACAGTGTGTTTGCCTTTCCAGAATGTTGTGAGATTTGCTAAAAACCAGTTACCTGTACCCTTATTCAGACATAATTATATTTATGAGGTTATAATCAAGGCTTGTTATCAAAGATTTTTGAATAATTTTGAAATTGCTATGTACCATATGAGACTAATACATAAATATATTATATTTTAGTTTGGCACAAAGGTGAGAATGAAGATAGATCTGTATCGTTACTTAATCATTAAAGCCCGGTACAATAGAAGCAACAAATAAAGATATATAAAAATATGAAAAGATACAAAACCATATATATGTATATCAAAATACATATATATGCATAAAATAGGATAAAAATTTATCAATATAATTTCCACTCTTTACGAATTATGCACACAGTAGGAGAAATATTTAACTCCATAATGTTTTGGTATCATTTGCAGACAATTACTACGGTACCCCGAAGCCTCCAGCAGAACCAGCACCATTATTATTAAATGTAACAGACCAGATACTTCCGGGAGCCACTCCAACTGCTGAAGGAAAACGGAAGAGGAATAAGTCGGTGAGCAACATGGAGAAAGCAAGTATAGAGCCGCCCGAGGGGGAAGAGGAGGAGAGGCCTGTGGTCAATGGGAACGGAGGAGGAGTGACACCAGGTTAGTCATTTACATGTTTTATAGGTCCATTTACTCTTTTAGATGTTACCAAATATGTCTTATATCTATGTGTTTAAATGCATGTGTATTTTCTTCACATATATATATGTTCAGACATGTACATATATATATATATATATATATAGTTACAGTTAACTTCAGAGAGAGAAGATTATGACATCAAAGGGAAAGGCCAAGATTCTTGTTTCCAATTTTTTTAGTTTTAATTTTGACATATCAAGCAATTCATTCAACTCCCTCAATTTTTGGTTTCCCTTATATAATAATGGCAGTATAGTGAATGGTTTAAACCTCTTAGAAAGTGTTACAGGTCATGAATATGATTGGGTAAAGTTCTGAGGTCTTTGCTAATCAATATTAGATGAAATCTAGCCTTAGAAATCTCCGCATGCTCTCAGTGCTGTCAATAGAGGTTGTGTGACGTGATTTAGTTAACAACTTCAGTGAATACAGTCCTCAAAATGACCACAGCTCCAGAAAGCACATTTGTTCGTATCTCCACTCTTGCCACCCAATCTGGCAGAGTGGAGAAAGCATCTTTATACAGTGACATTGTGAGGTCACGCACACTTGGACAAGGAAAAGACTTGTCACCCCTTTAATTTGTGATCTACTGTATCACATCTGTAAAGAATATTAGACATATATAAAGTATGTTGGTGCAAGGTATGGATTTGCTCTTTTCTTATGCTTATTACTAGTGGAGTGGAATTTTTTATTTATAAAGTAGATTTTTTCATAACATTGTCTATAATTAAATGTTACCAAAATAAAACTATGGCATTCTCTTAGCCTCTAAGCTTATTCTTAAGATATTTCCTACAACTACTTCAGTGTCTATATTTTTATTTATCACTGTGCTGCTTTTATAGTATTTGAATTTCATGTTCAGTTGCTTATAAAATAAAAGTTTCATAAGCTTATTTTTTACCTTCCTTGTTTATAATACCTACAAAAATGTTCTTCATTGAACATAAGGAGACCAAAATCTAATCTGTGCCAGTCAAGGTATAAAACCTTAACAAGTGGTTTCATTGTGATTGGTCAGAGGAGGATAACAGCCTCCATTAATATACTGGTTAAAACTTATTCTCTGACCCTAGTAATCCTTGATTTCTGGATACAAATGCCAAGAGTCACCATAGACACGTAATGTAACTTGTTTAATGGGAAATGATCTGGTAATTTTTAAGCAATTAGATACCTTCTCTTTTTTGAATCTGAAATACCTTTGTCAAAATATTTACTTTTCATCATGTGATTGATTTAAATGAAGTCGATAGTACATAGTTTCCTTAGTGGATCTTTGATATGAGATGCAAAACACTTCGAGTGAAAGCAGTCATCCCAAAAGAAGAAGTTGGGGGTCAAAGAGTAGTTGCAGAATTTCTTACTAGTTAGCACCTTATAGTTAAAATGTAAAATATATGGCCTTGGTTAGGCTCCGGTCTTTGGTTTCTATTCCATTTCCACTCTGTATGGGGCAAATCAAATGACGCATTCTTGACCCAGAGATTCCTAAACTAGAAATTTATATAATTGGGGAGAGTAGTGAATCTAGAAGGTACCATTTCCTTCTGAAATGCATACCTTAGACATGAGAATGGGGTATTTTTACGGCTAGGAAGTCTTTAAGGGCCTCAAGGAAAATGAACTGATTGAACACTTCTTGACCAGCCCTAGATGGATGACTGTCTCTGGACCCCTCAGCCTGAGGATGGTAGAGAACAACTGTCTGGGCCAACTCCAGCATCTCTAGATAGTCAACGGATGCCACAAACAGTGGTTCTGTAAGCCTGGCTGGACAAGTGGCCCCTACACTGTCTTTTTCTTTCCCATTATGAGAGATAACAGATGTATAAATTAGGCAGCTCTTCACTCAGTGTTCCAAGGTGGAAGAAACAGCCCCAAATTAGAAAGTTTGTCCATTGTCCCTTATTAGAAATCTTTTGACAACTAGCATCTTTGAAATGTCTTTGTTTTACTTTATTTATGCAATAGAAACTTTAGAATATTCTTTGCCCCCTCTCGTACATTGACCCAACTCTTCACCTTTTGAACTTCATCACATTTTTCTCCAGCACAGAGTCTTTGTCCTGCCTTTATCTTCTTTCCATACACATTCTCCAGATACAGGACACTTCAAACAATATTGAGAAAATTTTGCTTAAATGTGTGGTAACACTGTCCTGTACTAAACGTCAATTCAGAGTATAAATAGTGTACTCAATGAGGCACACTTGGAGAGTGAGCAAAGCTTACTGAGGTAACTTTATCTCATTACAAAAAATATTTATAATAATGGTAAAAAGAAAACATAATAATCAATTTCTTTGGGATGCTAGGAACTCCTTAACCTCATTATATGTGTTAGTTCATTTAATTTCCCCAACAGTCCTGTTAGCCAGGTCTTGCTTTACAGATTAGGACACTGAGGAACCCTTCAGTTAATAATTTGCCCGATGACTGGAATTCCTATATAGGAAATCTGAATCCAGAACCCATGCTCTTAGCTGCTATGCTATCCTGAGTCTTTCATCACCAAATAGAATCATGAATATATTTCTCAGAAAAATCTGTAGACACATGACCACTGTTGTACCCGTTCATCTTTAAAAGCGGCATTATAAATTTCTACCTACCAACGACTTCTTATTTCTTTCATTTCTGGAAATCATGTACAAGTGAACTTATTTCCCTCTGTGGATATAAAAAAATCCTTAGTTTTTTAATAATATTCTGTATGTATCTAAGCATCAAGTCTACCAATCTTTAACTCCTTATATACTTTACCAAAATGAACTTTTATCTCTATGTAAATAAAGATTTGAGAGGAGTCCTCAATTTATTTCTATACTCATTTTCTTCACCTTTTCTCCTTTGAACTGTAGTTTATACTTAGAATTATACATTCCTTTTTCTTTCAGATCATATCTGTATACAGTCAGTGATCACTTTAACTATGTAATTTTTCCAAGAAGTTCCACTAACGTTATCAATGAAAATTCACATAAAATATGTGAATACTCATTTTATGCTAACTTCCCTCTTTTTGCTCAGAATTATATCAAACACATGGATTTAGCCCACAGTACCTAGAAAAGGCCATGTAACGATCTTTCATTATCTCAGATCAGAAATGTCTTTCTTTCTGACATACATCACTTTGGTCATGGAAATCAACATAGTTCTCTCCTTAGAAATGTAGTTCTATCCTTGTTAAAAATAAAAATTACAAAAATAAAAGTAAAAGTAAGACAAATAATGGCAACTCTGCTTTAATGAATGCCTACATTGTTCTAGGCATATAGCATACGTATTATCTCTAACCCCATAATCATGGCATGTTTACTTAACAAATGGATTGCTGAAATTTAGCTGAAGGTGTTTCACTAAGGTAGTGGTTCATTTAGTAGGAGAGTTGAGATCTGGACCCAAAGATACCTGAGTTTGTCCTCTCTCCGCCACATTTCTCTGGGGCCGTTAACCATGCTGAGGACAAAGTTACTCCTGACCTTCATAAGGGAAATTACAATCCTGCAGCTCAGTGTATTTCATCTGCAGTGTATTCTGTTATATTCGTCCTTCATTGGGTTCATGGCAGTGGTGTTAGATCTGATGCTTGCAAGGATGATATATCCTTACATCATCTTAGAGAATCTGTCTTTGAAGTGATACTTAAAATTCACACCCCCAGGAAACCTTCCCTTGACGTTAACCTCACCTATATTTAGACATCTTCATCTTGTTAGAACTGACATCCCGCCCCATGGCTTCAAATACTGCAGATATACCTGCAGCCTTCAATTCTCTCCTCTGTTCCAGGGCCATATTTCTAACTACTGCCCAATGGACTGCCCCACTTAAGCATTTTTTCAGCAACTTAAATGCGACATTCCGCTTAAACTCTTCTCCCGTAAAACAAATAAGCAAACCAACTCACAAAGTCCTCTACCTGATTTCTCTAATTCTTCTTTGTGCCCAGATAGATCAGAATTATCTTTGATGCTTCCCTCCCCCAGGCTGGATATATATTATCGGGTACAAAAGATCGCTGGGCCTTTAGCTTTCATCTCTTCCTTCCAAGTATCACTGCCCCTCCTACATCACTGCTTTATCCCCTCATTTGCGAACCAGTGCCTTGCCTGACCTACCTTCCTCCAAGTTCCATCCTTATCAAATTTCCTGTTATTCCTCAATCAGTTAGGGATTCTTAGGCCTGCAATGGGTCATGTAACTATCGTTCTCAAAACTTGCATGGGCTCCTAATTCTACTGCTTCAAACTCCTTAGGCAGCCACTCAGATGCTCCCACATTTGACTACAGCATCTCTGTTAGCTTTGTCTCCTATTATTCCCCCACTCTCTTCTGTCCTCTACATCCCATACTCATAAAACACCTCCACCTGTCTGATAAGCTCTTTCCTACATTCAAACTTCCTATTCTTTTATTCAAAATTCAAAGCAATTTTTGATATCCCCCTTGTTGACTCCCATAAGGAAAAGTTGAGACTATCCATCACTGAATTATTTATATTTTCCATTCCTTTGGGAGTTATTGGTTAACCTGGTATTTGTAGGTCACTTTCATGATGTGCATGTCTGGCGTCCCCACATATACTGCAAACATGGTTAGGACAGGGCTTACTTCTACTTTTTAGTTTATCTGTCTCAGTTATTAGTATATACCTTTAAATATTTCAAGTTCTTAGTAAATCTTTATTTTTTAGTCAACCAAACCTTTAGAGAATGTTAAAATTTTACTATGTAAATGTGATTAGATTTAATTCATGCTCATTTTACATTATTCAGTGTCTTCAACATGCACTGTTTCTTCATTTGAAAGATACGAGATTCCTGATCTTACATTCCTTCAAAAGTTGTTTGATAATTAAAGAAAATTATGCAGAAGTATATTTTTAAAAATATATTCTTAGAGATGAGAATTATTCAGTCTCTCTAACTGTGGGAAAATACCAA